ACAATACAACATGTACAGATACACAAATATATACCACATTTATCTCAAACCATATCCATGAGCATATTAAAAGTCCATAGAGTTCATAATAGTCCATAAAGTCCATAGTAGTTCATACAGTCCATAATAATAGTCCATACAGTCCATAATAGTCCATAATAAAAGTCCACAAAGTCCATAATAGTCCATAATAACATCTACCATAAACTCTACCACAAGCCCTCACTACCTCCTAGTCTTACCCTTACCCTTGTGACCAAGAGCGTCGGTGCCTAGAGTGAAAGGGCCAGGTGGACGGCGTCGCCTAGTGCCTGCAGGCTGTGTAGGCTGAGTCGAGGGAGCGTCCTGTAGCAGAGACGGTCCAAGCTCCTCGTGCCTCTGGTCCACCTCCTCATTGTCCTCGTCCTCGTCCTTGTACGCAATGCCTATGGACCCTATAGGTGCTTGGCTAGACGAACCTAAGCCTCCTCTGCCTACGGAAGGAACATGCACGTCTTGCGTCGTGGTTGTCCTACAACCACAACAAGCAGCCGCATGGTGTAGCCGAAGTGACAGTCTCTGTTATACAAAATCATGTTAATTGAAAGAATTTAACGTACTAATATTATACATGAACGAATTTTTAGAATCTTACGTCTAGGAAGCTACGCATGTCGTTGTCCCTGACTCTCGGATGAAAGCGTGTCTAGCTCATTCCTGAACTCAATGTATGCCCGCTCTAACCTCGCATGCGGAACTCTAACCTGGTCCCAAAGGTACGCCCACATCGGCTGTCGACGTGGAGGCTAACCTAGGAACCAATCACGATGAGCAAGAACCTCAGGACGGGCAACTGGTAGATGAGCCCACATCCACAACTAGAGTAAGAACACGCATCCACCAAGTGAGGCTGAGGACGAAGTCCGATGACACGCCTCACAAAGCTACCGGTAAAGAAAAGCTAACACTGTAGAGCCCCAGCTGTACTGACCCGCCTGGTCCCAGTCAGTGAGGCAGTGGACCCACATCCATGACGCAGTGTCCCCCGTTGCATCAGGGAAGAGAATGCAGGCAAACAGGTGTAGGATCTACGCCCTGTAGTAGTACTCAACTGTCTCGTCATCTGCCTCCTCAGGGCACTGTGCGAACTCTTGCCGGAGCCAGGAGATTAGAACTCTAGAAGTGCAAGCCCCTTGCTCACCCACCTCACACCCAAGGAAGGCCTCTACTCATACTCTCCAACCTTTTGACCTGCACGGCCCAGTCACTGCGTTGCCGTGAATCCTCAGACCTAGCATCTTCTGACAATCCTGGAGCGTGATTGTCATCTCTCCGAAAGGCAAGTGAAAGCTGTGAGTCTTAGGTCGTCACCTACATTTTAGACAAAGCAAGATTACATGTTAGAAAGGCAAGCGCATGAACAAATGCGTACGGATGGAGGCAATGGTTGAAGATAATACCTGTCAACCAGCGTAGTTAAGGCCGCTGAGTTGAATGTGGGCAACTCACGACGAACCTAAAAAGAGATGACATCTAGGCCAGCTCTTTGCAGGAAAGGAGTGTACCTATCGTCATACTACATGTCTAAGAACCTATTGTGGGTTCTAGAATGAAGGAGCAAAAGGTCCTGCATGGAATAAAACATAGTCTCCCATTACTTCACGAACACATGTATGCTTACAAAAATTTGAACAAGATGTATAGATTATTACCTGCCCCTCCGCTATGAGATGTCCTCGGTGGGTCTCCTCGTACGTCAGGTCGAGCAGGTGGAATTGCGCCATCCTACAAAAAAAGTCAATGAAATACAAATTCAATATACAATGAAACATAAACTTAGATATGTACAAGTAATTGACACAATTAGAAGCATAAATTGAGACATGCATAATTAATGGAATGAATACGATAAATATGAAATAATGAAAACAACTAGTAGTCGCACCTCACTAATTTGCCAATGGCAAGTGCGTGAATTGTGGCCCAGTCTACCGCACTTACCACACTCGTACTGCTCGGGGTCAGTAAGAAATGGGGTTCCTCTCCCACACCTCATTCTTTTAGGTATCTGATCCATAACCATCCTGTGCCTCTTCCTCTTTCTGGATCCATGCTTGTTCCAATAGTAAGCTGGATCCACAATGTACTTTGGCCCGTCATATGGAGGCCACTCTCTAGGGCCCCAGAAAGGCACGAAGCGGGGGCTCCATGTGTGCACAAGCGTGTCGACAATGAACTCGTGAGGTATCCTGCTCTTGATATTATAGTTCCGATGCCTAGCTACTGCCACCAAATGAGAACATAGAAAGTGATACTGCCTTGGTTTACCACAAGTGCATGGACGTGTCTATCGTTGAACCAGGCAACAAGCTTGTAGAAGGTGAATTGAACGACTGCATTCACGGGCATACCACGTATCCCCAACAGCAACTTATTGAATGATTCCGCCATGTTGCTGCACTGAAACTCGTACCTCCATCCACCGGCATCGTGAGCTCTTGTCCATTTCTCCAAATCCCTCATCAAACCTATGAGCCATTGTCTACCTTCTGCATTTGATGCGGTTCTGACCTGCTCTAACTTTTTTTGAAAGTACTTGTCCTCAATCTATCAAGCAACCTCCTGGAACAGATCAAAGTTATCCTTCACACCATCCTTCCGGAGTAGATTCTCAGCAAGGTGTCGAGTACACCAACGATGGTGCAAAGGTACATACCCCTCTATCTGCTCTCGCGTGGCATTAAGTATGCCCTGGTGCCTATCAGATATAACATCAACCTCCCTGCCAGGCCCAACCACATGTATCCAGACTAGACTCAAGAACCATCCCCAACTGTCATTGTTCTCCTTCTCAACAAAAGCAATTGTCAAAGGAACCAACTTGTTGTTTGTGTCACAGGATATGGCTATAAGAAGTGTACCCTGGTATTTGCCAATCAAGAATGTACCATCAATGAACAAGATGGGACGATAGTGTCTAAAGGCCTCGACACACTGAGGGAAGCACCAGAAAGCACAGAAGAATATCTACCTCCCATCCTTCCATAAATTTGGTTTTGGGATGTACTCATAATGCATGCCTAGATTCACCGCTTTGATTGCATTGAAAAGTACTGGCAGCTGCTCATACCCATCCTCCCAGTCCCCATATATCATCTTCCACGCTTGCTGCTTAGCCCTTCAAGCTTTACCATAAGTTATCACATAACCACCATACAACGCCTCAACGGTCCTGATAATTGTTCTAACCTTCATGTTGGGTTCTCCCTACAGTATTCCCTTCAACCGCTTGGCAATAAGGGTAGATGTCAACTACCGATGCTTCAGTGTGAGCACATGGTGAGCACAATTATGTGGCCCGACAACTTTTGTGATCTTTCACTTTTTGGTGACATTTTGCTTCCTTGCACAAACCCTCCACGGGAAGCGTTCCTTGTCACACACAACTGTGTAACGGCGCTCCGCATATGAATACAAGACCTTGTAAAGTCTCTTTCGTATCAATGCAAATGCCTACAACCACCTCTTCAATGCAGGAAGGTCCTTGAATACCCTACCCTTCCCAATTACCATGTTAGGGCCAGCCTCAGGAGCTTCTAGTAGCTCATCATCACGTCCTTCTACACACGCCTAATCGAAATGAGCAAGATCGTTGAACTCGTGAACTCTTGGATCACGGCGGCCGGGAAAGATACGCCTTAGCATCTCAATGTCACTCTCTGTCATCTCTCCAACAGGACGATCATCATCAGAATCAAGAGCCCTTGCCATCTCATATGGCTCCAAATCATTCATAATTTCAACACTATTGGAGCCACAGAATCCATCTCCATAGTGCACTTGCGCAGCAACAGGGGGCACATCCACATTGTCAGGAATGTCTCCTGCAATATAAGTAGAAATACGAGGAAAGAATGAGAAAAATGGATGTAAGGAAGGGGGTAAGCTACAAATAATGATGTGGATAAGACACATACTCGGATGATTCTGTGTCAAAGGGATCTCATGAGGAGGATCTGCCACAACATCATGAGTCTGATAAGCATCTCCAACTACCTCATTGGGGGCAGATTGAGCATCGGGACTGTAGGTGCAACCTCCACATCCATATCAGGTTCCGGGACGGGAGGGTCAAAGTGTGCCTGCTGACCCATTTCTAGGGAAAACCCATGAGCGATGCGATCAAGTACCACCCAACGCACAACCACATCCAAACTTTGGAACTAGCTTTTCATAGTCGATCTCACATAGTTCTCCCACTGATCCGCACATCCAATTGGGATCATCTTCCTTAGGATGTTGGGAGGGGAACCTAGGTGAAGTACACCCTCAACTGTGATGCCATCACTCCATGGCAATGTAGCTCCTCCCGAGCCCTTGCAACCAACTCACTAAATGAAGACTTCTCATTGAATAACACAGGCACGCTTTGCATCTTAACAAACTCAACATATCCATAGCGATCTCTTTCCACGGTGCCTCCATGATATATGCTCACTAGGTTTTCCATCTAGTTCATACACATAACGAAGCATATTTCCTTTAGTCCAATATAAATGAAGCATACTAAGTACAAGGTCCCTAGTATGTAATAACTAACTAAATAGATACTATCAATTCACTACTAACTACTAAGTACTACTAACTAACTATGTCAAGTAACTATCTAATTAACTATGTAACTAGCTATCTTACTAACTATATAACTATGTAACTATGTAACTAACTATATATCTAACTATGTAAAGTATCCATCAATCAACCTATCAATCTAAATATCTTTCTACCTATCTAAATCGCAAACACACTAACTAACTAATAACCACTATTAAATAAGAACAAAATTAAAAAACTAATGTACCTCAAGTGTGGGGAGGCGCAATCGGTCGACAAGAGGTAGAGACTGCTGGCGGGGAAGCTGTCGTGCGCCCACGTGTGCACCCTATCGGCAACTGGAGCGGCCAAGCGGGTGGGGGCGGGCGGCCACAGGAGGCTAGCAAACGGCACCCTGCTACCGGCCTATGGCCCCCGCTGCCCTTGTGGAGCGGGCAAGGGAGGCCGGTGCAGCAGGGGCTGGCGCGGTCGCGCCGTCCGGGTTCGACGACGGGAGGGTGGCGCAGCAGTTGTGGGCGGGGTAGGGCACCGCGCGGTTTCGGTACGTGGGGCGGGGATGGGCACGGCGCGGCACAGCACGGCGCGCGGGGATGGGCGGGGGTGGTCGGCGGCGGCCAGCATGAGACGAGGAGGGGCTGGGGCCTGCTAGCCATGGCGTCGATGCTTCGAAGCGGGATCGGCTCTACCGGCGCGGGGGATGGATGGGTCAAGGCCACGGCGGACGACGCGGGGCGGGACGGCGCGAATGAGGAGCGGTGTGTAACACCTCCAGTGTTACATGACCTCTTTAGCACTAAACATTTAATTATTAACTTGTTAATAATAAATTAGAGCAACATTAGAGTAGAAGATAATTCAAAAATAGAATGAAATAAAATACATTATTAATAAAACGTTGTATATATATAGCTTTTGAATCTAAATTAAATTCGAGCTTTGTTATAATTTTTTTTGTGCTTAGATGTTGTTAATTGTATAAAGTAGTAAACCGATAGAGATATATATATAGTATATATACACTCACGTATTTTATTTTGATAAGCATGTTGCTATATTAATTAAAAATAGTGTACAAACTTATTCTTCCCGAGTGTATCTCTATAGATAAGTATACGTTTAAACATACAATAAATATATGCATGTGTGTACGGATATTAGTGATAAAGAAATAATGACATATTTGTAATTACATAATTATTTATATATCTTGGTAAAAGAAAAAGAAAGAAAATGGCATAGCGCATTCATGGACGCATGTGCGCATGCTTATCCTCGTCGCCGCCTTGCTGTGCGCTGGCCTCGCTGCCGGCCTCGCCTTTGCGGCCGCACTGCCACCGCCGCTTCTCGGCAGGCTGTCCGGTTGCCGCTACCGCGTCCATCTCCATGTCGTGCTAGTGTTGGTCATGGTCATCTTCGCGAGGCCGGGCTGAGCTGCAAGGCTGCTGCGGCGCGACCGTCATGAACGCGTTGCCGGCCTAATGGTGCGCGGGCCAAGCTGGTGCCGCTAGCCAACGCGAGTTGGCTAACGTGGCACTTGTTTCACCATCTATCGCACCTACCTCGCTCCTACCCGCGTCCTCTAGATGTTGTGTTCGATCGGTGGTCCGGCCACATCGAGGACAGGACGTCTCCCTGCCCTGCTCTACCGCTAGTCGACGTACCCCGCTCAGACCCTATTGCTACGATTCAATGCATCGCGCTAGGTCCTTTTCTATTCAACGACCGGGCCACGTGCTCATGGTCGCTGTCGATCGGACTGCTCCGCCTTTACCTGGTGAGCTCGCTCAAGTCTCCTCGATCTTCCTATTGCGCCGCTCTTCTCTGCCCTGTCTACCTCTGCTTGCCTCTGTTCTGCTTGCTCTTCTGAGCCGAGCATTAGCCATGGTTGCGCCGCCATCGTCGGTCCTCCCTCGCGAGCGCACACAAATCTCCTCGCACCCCGTGGTTCCTCCCACACCCCGCGCGCCTCGAGCGCGCTGCTCATCCACTGTCTCACGCCCGCACCATCACTCTGCTCTTCCCTCTCTCTGCTGCCAACTGTCGATGCCGATGCCGTGTTGGTGCGTCGGGCACCCGCCGTGGTCACGTGCCGCCGCGTCACGACTCACGCCCGCCGTCGCTGGTTTTTCTCCCCCGCAGCATGTTGAGCAAGTGAGCACGAGCCCCCACGATCGCACTGGACCGTTGCCCCTCAGCGCTGCCCCATCCACGTCCCCGCCACCGTCCGTACCAGTACAGCTTCGCCGCTCGCCGCTCCGCCTCGCCTCGAGCCTCCTCTGCGCCGCCGTCGATGCGTCGTGTTTCTCGTGTGGCCGCGCCCATGGCTCGTGGCTCCGGGCGACCTCCAGCGAGGTCAGCCGGCTCATCCGCGCCTCGCAACGCCCTACCATGGGTGGCCATCTGTTTCGGCCGGGTTCTGGTGTGCCGCCGACCCTGCCACGACCGCGCGTGCCCGTCGTGCCGTGACCCGCCCTGGCCCGCGCTGGTCCTGTGGCTCCACAACGCTATCTTCCCGAGCCTCCTCCCATCGTCGTGCTGCGTCGTCTCACCGTCCCTGCCTGGCTGGCGCCACCGCAGCCAGCGTGCCCGCCATAACGGCTCGCGCGGGCAGGCTATCGGGGGCCGGCTCGGGTCTTGCCGTGGCCAGCTCGAGGCCACGTGGGTTCTCGTGCAACTCGCCGACGGGTTTTCCACCGTCGCCGTGCTTTCCCCGGCCGGGATTGGCCGCCGGCCAGTGCTCCTCTGCTCTTCTGTCTCACCCTTGGTGGATGACGAGTGAGAAATCGAAATAGATAATGTTTCAGGGTTCCGAATGCAAATTGCGTGACTCTAATGAATAGTGTCAACAGTCGTAATACGAATTAGAAAGACAACGAGGTCTCTTTTATAAGATTGATGTCCCGCATTGGGCCTCCCCTCTTGGGCCGGACTACTCGCCGGTAGGACCGTGCATCCGCCCGGACTGGGCCGAGTCGGGCCATATTTGGCCCAGAAGCTCCGTTTCATTTTATTTAGATTTAATCTTTTCTATTAAATCGACTAAAACTTGTAAAATTCATAATAAATCAAATAAAAATCGTAAAATGATAAATCCAATTTTATTGAACTCTACACAGATTGTACTACACAGTGAACACATAAAATCACATGCTTTAGTGCAAAATAATTTGCCTTTAAAAATTAATCTATTGTTGTTATAATTAATTAAATTAGTTTCCTTGCTTCTAATGCTATGAAATTTTTATGGTGGATTCATCATATGGTTAGGTGCCCGCTATAATTTTTGTAGCTGTAGAGTAATTAAATTGTTAAGATAGCAAATGAGCCCTAGTTTGAATATATAGTAAATCAAATAAATGAAATAAAGAAACACCTTGAAATTGTATAACTAAAACATTTGTTGGAAAATGACACCTTTCTTGACGATGTTGATGCGTAGATTAGTACGTTAGTCATTAGAGCTAGCTTGTTAGTTCGTAGTACGTGCTCTATTTTAAGAGTTGTTGCCTTGTTTATTATCTGTTGCATCATTTACATCAATGCATATCATATAGGTACGATGATGAATCAACGGATCAATAGAAGGATGATTGAGAATCTGAAGATTGTGTAATGGTATTTTCTCTAGGAGATGATGTAATGGGTTTTTTATTCAGTTGATGGTGGATGATCTGAAGATGCAGATACTAACTTTTTAGTATATATCTTACCCAAGCAAGCCCCGGTGCATAACCCATATTTTCTGCACTTTAAATTATATTTGTGCATTAAGTTTTAAAGAATTGAATGAAACCCACCTACATATATATATCTTTATCCTATGAGTCTTACTAGTATGACAGGATCGTGTAGATTGCTATGCTATAGGACTCCGGTAGAAGTCGAGTGATTGCCTGTCACTCGTGAGAGATAGGAAATATATTACTGTATTATTATCACTTGGAATATCTAAATGGTGAAAGGAAAAATAAAGACTGGACAGGGATATGGTTTGGATATTGGTGGGTATAAGAGGTTGTGTCCTGTGACCAATGGGACATAGTTTGGTTACACTGTTTTCCCTATCTGTGTCGGTTAAGGACCGGCCGTTGCATTGGGTTCTAGGCAGGTCACAGACTTATTATCCTGAGCATATACTTGGGTATGGGCACAGAGAAGACTTGTTACTCTCTTGTCATGGGTTCCGGCTCTTTTCGGACTGACTGTCAGGGTGATTTTTGGGTGGAGGTTCTTGCACCGCACTAAGTCCGGAACTCAGGGGGCAGGGGCTTGGAGTCCCAGTTTGGACGGGGACCTAGGTCCCGTGACATGAGGGTAGTGGGTTGGTCCTGCTTGTGCCTAGGGTACAAGCGGGAAGTGTGTTTTTAGGGTACCCAGCTGGGCACATTGATTCGCGAATCGTCGGGCAATCCGGTACGGCTTGTCTATAATCTAGCAACGTAGTAAGAACTGAAAGATGAAAGATGGTAAAAAGAAATCTGATTGCTTACCACCTGCTTGAAAAGTAGCACATATGCTTATATAGAATGGTTATTTAATGAATTAATGATGACTGCTAATAAAATCGAATATAAGGACACACGTTTAGTAATGCTTCCTGCAGATGCAATAAACCCACAAGGCAGATAGCCTTGCATATCCTTGGAGTCTTTTCTTTCCTCCTGTCGGATAAGTCTTGTTGAGTACAATTGAGTACTCAGGATTTTATTTTCTCCCTGTTACAGATGACAGGTGGATGTTAGAGCTAACTCTTGTGTGTGGATTTCTTCTAAGTAAGCTCAGAGATGATTTCTTTACGCTACAATCATAGTTTTTATTTATAACTCTTATGAAATGTTTTCATAAATCAAAGTTTTATAATCTGTTGTCATAGTTTATATATCAATGATTCATCATGTCATGAATAGATATTTATTTCTGCTGTAATTCTGATCACATGTTTATATTCCGTTGTTAACTTAAATTATTCATAACTCTGATAACATGTTCATATTCCGCTATTATAAATAGTAAATATTATACTATGATATTGCATAAAAAGTGATGTAAAAATGACTAATAATGATGTAAGCTTTATTCTCTCATCTGTGATCTTGATAGAAAAATATGGATTTTCGGGCTCTCCTATGAGGTGTGCCCAACGAAACCACGTAATTTGGTGTCCTCCCTTGGATACTTAGTGTCTAATAAAAGACGAATACTCCTAAGAGACATTAGATTAGGCGGTTCTGCCACACGGCGCCAGCGTCGGGCGGCGTCGAGCGGGTGGAAGACAGAGGCGTGAGAGAGAACGGGAGAGGAAGAGAGGAGAGAAAGGAAGAGAGAAAGAAAACGGACCCACCTGTAAGGCCGAAACGACGCCAAGATATTTGGCGCCGGACTCGACGCCAAGATCTACGACGTCAAGCTCGGCGCTAAGATCTGTGGCGCCAATGTGCCTGCCAGGTCACCACCACGTTTTCATCGACACCTACGTGGCCCTCAAAACCTAGGTGTTAAATACACTAACGTCGAAACGTGTTACCTCGGCGCCAACAACCCTACGCCGAGGTGAAAGTCTATAATTTAAAAACAAGAGAGACAGATCCGTGAAAAACTTAAAAAAATGGTAAAAAAACAAAAAAATCGGTGTTTTAAGCAAGAGGCAACTGGTCAGCTGGTCTAGTTTGCTCGTGAGACTAAGACCGAGCTCAGAGTGGCAGCACAGCCAAGCCATGGCGTACCGTCCCCCATCAATGTCTGCCGGTGGCCTTTGTCGCTCTTCTTGATGATTTGAGCGACGACCTCGTCTCCATGACGGCGGTCCTGGCTCTCATCACCGCCCAAGTGCCAAGGCTGCCATCAATTGCGAGTCTCTGTCTGCCCGTCTTCTCATCATCTCGCCGTGCGCATGACCTGTTCGACGGAATGCCATGGCACACGCCATGCGCATGGCCTGTTCGACGGAATGCCATGGTACACGCACACAGTGTAGAGAAGATGGTGGTGGAGGGGGATTTTGATATTTTGGCAACCGGTGGCCCCCACATGGCAGCAAATTCATGGTGCTGCTTGCGCGCCTTATCCTCTCACACCACACCAGCAGCCTGCCCAGCGCCCACAATGCCAATGCCTCCAGCTCAGCTGGTAAAAAATCAGTCACCTGCCACCTGGCGATCAATGAAATGATCTAGCTCGTCAAACAAACCCTCTCCTGGATAGGAGTAGCAGAGGCATCAAGGACAGTGAACCAATCAAACTGTGCTGCCTGCATTTGTGGCTTCTCTCTGCCTCTCCCCTCTTTCAAGGAGAGGGGCTTCTTGTCACCAATATCCATCTCTGCCTCTCCAACCTTTGTTATCTTGCCCAAGATCCCTCCCTCCCTCCATGAATTCCAGCAGAAGCCTCCTCTCGTCGCCCCTCTTTGCTAGCTCGTCTCCAAACTTCAGGAGCAGTACGTCCGTCTCCTCCCCGTCCCCATCCCGCACCACAGGTATATATATCCTAGCCTATCCTTCTCGTTTCTAATCTGCAGATATTATCGAGTATGTATGTTGAGCTCATTGGCTACGATCTGGCAGCAGTTCCAATGATACATGACAACACCAGCAGAGCATCCACGGCGTGCCACTACTCACCGTCTCTTGTGGCAGAGGAGCAGCTTCACGGTTCCAAAGACACCTTGACCTTGAAGGGCGAAAAGGCTTTGCTTGAGTTGCTGCTAGGCATGGTGTGCCATCACTCTATCTTGTTTCACCTTATACCTACTACTACACTTTCCTGGAGTATATATGCTCCTGATTTCATATTACTCCTGGGTTCTCCCTGCAGGCTCTGGACCAGCACGTCGACGGCGGGAAGCTCATGCCTGAGGATACTGATTTCGAGAGCTATTTAAAAGAAGCAACAAGCCGAGTGCTTTACCAGCCAGCATTCACGTACGGCAGCTTCTGTTTCCCTCTTCCAAAATATTTTGTAGTTTCATAGCTACGACTAATCCTTCCATTCCACCATTTTTTGACAGCCGCTGTTATGCGAATCACTCTTGCGATTATTCTGACCTAAATTTATTGGCAGTGAAGAGGATGATTCTACTTCGGAGAGCTCTTCAGCATCAATAGCCAAACCACCTGGGAGTTTGGATCTTGGCATGCTGACAAAGCAGGTGGAATTGCCAGCAGAAGAATCAGGCACTTCAGACACCCAGTTGGATGTACCACAGCCTCACCGGTTTATTTCTTTCCACTTTCAAACACTCTTATGTGGTCAGATCAGTGTAGAGGAACGCAACAACAAGCAATCACGCTCTTTTATTATTCTAACACTTGACCATTGTGCTGCCACCAGTGTGGATCCAAACCATTCATACGAGGGACTGCTCAACAATGATCAAGTGTTTATTAGATCCACTCGGTTACTTGAGAGGAGATCTAAGAAACGCAACGCCTACAGGGCTTCGAGTAACGACGTTCCGTGCAGTGGTGTGAACCCAAAGAGAAAAGAGAAGTCAAAGAAGTTTGGCAGAGTTCTTGATCCAGATGAGCCTTTCAGGTTGTTTCTACGGGATCGAGAGACAACAGAGTTCTTGACAGCGAAAGAGGAGAAACAGATGTTCAGTCAAATACAGGCACAACTTCTCCTATTATCGCTGTCCTTCCTTAATGCCCATATGTTCAGTTAAATTAATTACTGATGCAGAATTGTGATTTAATTTTGCACAGAATCTTATGAAGCTAGAGGAGGCTCAGCGTAAACTGCAAGCTCAATGTGATCGTGAGCCAACAGTTGCAGAGTGGGCTCAAGCCGTAGGAATGAGCTGCAGGGAGTTGCAATCCTGTGTCCGCACTGGAAGACGGTGCCGAGAGAAGATGGCCCGCTCCAACTTTCGCCTTGTGATACATGTCGCTAGGAAATATGAAGGACATGGCCTTGACATTCAGGACCTGGTGCAGGTTTGACGCTTTTAGATTGCTTATTACGAGATTTTCTGGGGGTTACGAGATTTTCTTGGTTTTGAATGTGTGTCAGCTGTAATGCCAGGATGGATGTTGTGGGTTGATGAAAACCTTTGAGAAGTTCAACCCAAGCAAGGGATGCAGATTCCCGACCTATGCCTACTGGTGGATACGTCAATCGATCAAAAAGTCGATCTTCAAGAATTCAAGACTAATCCGATTGCCGGTATTAATTTTCTTCTAGTACTAGTGTTTGTATATATGGAAGTAATAGTACTTGTCAAGGCCGTACCCATGTATGGACATATCACATATCCTTGCTGATCCAGGCGGTTTATTTCTGTTGTGTATCCCTTGCATTGCAGGAGAGTGTGTTTGCACTCCTGAGGAAGGTGGGCAAAGCGAGGATGGAATGCATAATGGACGGGGAGCAGCCGACGAATGAGAATGTCGCAAGGCGTGCCGGCATCACAATTGAGAAGCTTGCGAAACTGAGAGCCAAAACCAGGAAACCACGGTCCATGCAGGATCGGGTTTGGTCAGATGACGGTGTCACATACCAGGTAAGTAACATTGCATGCATTGCATTGCATCCACTGATGGTGATGGATGATCCAAGCACTGCGTCTGCGTTCGTGCAGGAGATCACTGAGGACCCCAACATTGAGGCTCCTGAGGTGAGCGTGGACAGGCTGATGATGCAGCAGCAGGTGCGCAGCTTCCTGGCAGGGATGCTGAGCCCCCGGGAGAAGGAGATCATCGAGCACCGCTTCGGCATCCACGACGGGCAGCCCAAGACCCTTCATGTCATCGGCGACATGTACGGGCTGTCCAAGGAGAGGATCCGCCAGGTGCAGAACAAGGCCCTGGACAAGCTGAAAAACAGCATCTCGGCACAGGGCTTCCACGTCTACTTTGATTTGCTAACTTGAGCAGAGCACAGAAGCTGATGATGAGTCTCTTCAGCATATGCATTATCTTGTTCATATATATGTACAGATTGATTGAGAACTGAAGGAACCCGCTCTTAGCATCTAGACTTGTATACATCACACATTCCCTTCCCAAACCCAAAGGGCAGAGGCAGCCAATGGAATTGCCGTGTATATCATATGTATAGATAGACGACAAATGCAAGCAGTATACACTTCACTACGGCAGATCCATTGCCGTCTGTTTCTTGATGTAATAAGTATATTTTCCTAGGCAAAATCAACAACAAAAACTGTTGCTACATACTGATACTGATACTGATACTGAACTTCCTTTGGGCTAGAGAACCGAGGTACACTTTCTTGATGTAATAAGTAGGAGTACCATGGTTCAGGCTTAACCATGGTACTCCTGCTTGGCATGTTCTTTTGGAGTACAGTACATTGGATTTGCAATTTGGCATTCATTCATTCTTCTAATCAATGGCTAGTCTTGTACTCCTATGACAGTACAAGTACTATCTGGTTGGTTGGCTGCACAAGGCTACAGCCAGCATTATTTATTCATAATATAGGAGTAGTACCAGTTTGGTTGGTCCATTTGGAGCTGAGCAGGCCAGGCATACACTTGCAGGTAATTGTCTGTCTGCAACTGCGGGCTTTGCAGTCACAAGGACAAGGCTACTAAAACTAATCAGGGATGTGTATAGTCCCAACAGACTCATGTAGAGACTGACCAGAGATGATAAATAATCACAGAGTAGTAGAATAGCAGCAAATATGACTGAGACTGACCCCATCTAAATATCTTTGACCCTTGTTTGATGACATTGATTTGGATTGGATCTATCTTAGGATGCCTCTCTTTTTTTTCTTGTGGTGGAGCCTGCAAGTGCAATGGGATTGATCATTGCACACACCTGGTTGGCGGTTGCGGGCTGCCGCTGCCGGGTTGGCTGCCATGGTGCCATGTCCTCCAAAGGAGTAAAAAATTCGAGTGAGCCTGAGCTTAGCTACACGCCTACACCCATTTTTAATACATCTGTGCGTTTCCAAAATTAGTTACTGAAAATATATTCGTGTAGGTCAGGGACACTCATCTTGACAAACTTTTCTCTCTTTTTCTTCTTCTTTTCTTTTCTGAAAAACTTAACTATGTACTCTCTTCTTTCTAAATTATAAGTCGTTCTGGATTTTCTATGAACATCATTTTTGCTACGTGTATAAATACATAGTAAAAGTTATGTTTTAAAAAAACCAAAATGATTTATAATTTGGAATAGAGGAAGTATGAGCTAAAAAAGAAAGAAAGAAAATACTCAATACTAACTTGCAGTGCAACGAAAAGAGAAAAAAACAAGGCAACTGTGACTGAAAACGAAAAGAGAAGCACAAGTAAAGGCACTGGGAAGGTGAGCATGTTAGATACTTTGTTGGAGCTAGAGAGGCTACGCAGGAGATAGGAGTGGGAGGTGGAAGGACGAGGCTTGAACGCCCGGCGGCGGACTGGCGGCGCCGTGCTCGGCGCCTAGGCTAGCGCGATGCGTGCAAGCGAGAGCAGAAGGGGTTGGAACGCCGGGGAGCGAGAGAGAGATTACTCTTAATCTCTGGCTAAACTGTATTCATCCAAAGTGTTCAATACTTATAACAAAAGCCTAACAACCATGCTGCTAAGTTTAAGGACTAATTAAACAAACAGAATTATTTCTCCTAATTCATCGGATCGACTAACAACCGGAGCGAGCCCTGGGCGACGCAGTCGGCGCACCCTCGGCGTGGTGACCGCGCACCAGCTTCCCGCGCGGCTCACTCCTTCAGCCACTGGTCTTGGTGCGACGACGGTAGACGTTCCCCACCATAACATACTTTCATTGTCACATGAAGATGAAGCTAGCTGAACATATACTTTTCCAACGGAACGGATTAATCGACAGTTGACAAGGAAGGAAGAATCCTGATTCCTCTGCCTCGACTCTCTCTGCTTTGCTGCTGAAGATGAAGCTAGCTGAACATATACTTTTCCAACGGAACGGATTAATCGACACTTGACAAGGAAGGAAGAGTCCTGATTCCTCTGCCTCGACTCTCTCTGCTTTGCTGCTGCTGTTGCTTTCTCACACCGCTAGCACTGCTCTGCTCACTTGACCAGGATATGCAGCAGGGCAGAGAGATTCAAGGCTCCACTCCCAACCAACACATACTCCACTCTACTACATCTAGCTGAAGGAGCAGTCTGCCTCTGCAAGGCGGGCCCTACCACAACTCACATGCCACAAGTTTTCTGCTGCTTGTGCACACAAGGACACAAAAACATCACAACCCACCCAGTCAACCTCTAAAGCCCTGATTGATATCGTAGACTAAACTTTAGACTTCGGTATTCAAATAGATGAACTAGAAGTAAATTAATTTTTGGTTTTTAACCTAACTAATACTTTTTTGAAATGAAAAGAGGAAAGCCAACTAACAATTAGTTTATTGTGAACTAATATGAATTAAAAAGGTTTACATAAGTCTTTGTTCAAGAAAGCTACTTGCGGGAAGGATTGTGTAGTTCATCTAAGCATGACTCATCTAAAGTTTAGTTAATATTTAAATATCAGACAACTAAATTTGAAATGATAAATTTAGTCCAACTAAACTTTAGTTTTGGATTGTCTAAATAGGCTCTGGGTTATACGAAGTCGACCATAGTGTGTCACACTCGCTTGGTAGACACATACACATGATATGCTCCAAACTTGATGCCTATGGCAGTAGCAATGCAAGTCGTTGGCTCTTTGCACTACCTGACTTGGCGGTCTTAAAAGTGGCAATGGTAACAAACTTACATTAGTTGAGCGACATTTTTGTTGACCTATGTGCCTCTGAAATTAACATTTATATAGACCCCCCTCGGTTCTAAAGAAGATACAATTCTAGGTTTTGGATAAGTCAAACTTTTCTAAATTTGTCTAAGTTTTTAGAAACAATTATCAACATTTATTTATATTTCATAGTCAGTCTAATGATATCTATTTGGTATCATAAATATTTGTATTTTTATATGTATTTTAGTCAAACTGATTTTTTTGACTCGTCGAGAAGTGAGAATTGCATTTTTTTTAGATGGAGGAAGTAATACGTAACTCTATATTTGATATTGATATTTTTGTAGATATTTGTTGCTAAAATAACATATTAGAGGCACTGTCCATATTTGATGAATTTATATAGTATTTGCTCCGTTTTATAAATGGATCTAGAGTAAACTTAGAATGAGCCACTCGAAAAGCCGAAAGATCCTAACAATGACTTTGAGAATTTATGGAACTAGATGAGGTGCCAACGGCCTGTTCGGCTGGTATTAAAGCCAGCTGATAAGCCGGTTAAAGCTGTTTTGTTATGAGAGAAAAATACCGTAGATTCTAACTGATAAGTTCAAGCGAATAGGCCCTTGACTAGATGCGTCAACAATGATTTGTGTGGTTAAACATTTATTTAAAAGTGGACTGATTCTCTTGTTGACAAGTGATGAAGCCAGACCTATTTTCATTATTTAAACAGATGAGGATGTGGAAAAAAATAATATCCTATAGTATATTTCACTCTCTATTTTCTCAGACTCTTTGGTCCTTACCGTATACCCCCATCGGTTTCAAAATAGAGATAGGTCAGCAAATTTTTATCTTAAACCGAACTTTATCCGTTTTAAAAGTTGAATTTTGGGTTAAAAGTTATTATAGAACAATCTTAAACCGAACTTTATCCGTTTTAAAAGTTGATTTTTGGGTTAAAAGTTATTATAGAACAATACGTTAGGCCAGTTTTAGTGGTGTTTCATCAGAGTTTTATGGACATTAAATAGGCTGATGTGACACCGTATTGATGAAGAGAGATGATAAAAGTTTCATGAGAGTAGAGAGAGTTTCATCTCCATGAAAACTCTTCTGCACTATTTTTAAAAAACTGGCCTTATTGACACCTAAACTGTCAAGGACCCAAGCTTACTTTAATTGCTGGAAGAATGGTGTACAAATAATCGTGGTCGGGAACACAAGCCAACCCAAAAGAGAGGAGTTTAAAGAAGTTGTGAAAATCAAAAGCGGTCGGAAAAGCAAAAGCGGCGAGGAGAGGAGAGGAGAGCATAGCATAGCAGAGCAAAGCAGTAAAGACAGTCTACAGGTGGGGAGGGAGGAGGGAGAGGGAGAGGGAGAGCCAACGGAGGCGCAGTGCAATGCCCGCCATCGGCCATCCACCATCCCATTCCTAGGTAGCTAGCTTGGAGCCAGCAGAGCAGCACCCAGCACTCACCCAGTCACCCCAGCAGCAGGGAAGGAGAGAGAAGCAGAGGGAGGTTGAGGCTCGAGGCCAGCAATGGAGGTCGCCGCGTCCTCCGACCAATACCGTTCCTCCTCTTCCTCCGCCAGCAGCCCCGCGCGCCGCTACTACCTGCCCAAGCCGGGCGCGCTCCACCGCCCCATCTCCTTCGAGGACTCCCCCGACTGGGACGACATCCACCCCGACGACACCATCCACCTCGCCACCGCCGCCTCCGCCTCCATATCCATCGCCAGCAGCGCCTACCCTTCCCCCTCGCCCTCCCTGCCTCCGGGGCTCCCCTCCGCCTCTGCTGCATGCCGCGACCGGAAGCTGGCCGGGGCTACCCTCGTCTGGAAGGACCTCACCGTCTCCTCACTCGCCGCAACCACAAACCGCTTCTCCGACCGACTCGTCAAGAGCTCCAACGGCTACGCGCTGCCAGGCACGCTCACCGTCATTATGGGCCCCGCGCGCTCCGGCAAATCCACACTTCTCCGTGCAATTGCAGGTTTAGTTTTCTGTTTCTATTTCTCCCATAAATCTATTCTATTCGATTTTATATGAGTTTAGTATCCAAAGAATGATGCTTTCATTTCCATTCATGCTGCTGATTTGGACTGCAATTCCAAATGACATTCTTTCCGGCCACTGACGTTTAACTGTCATATTTGCCTTTCCTCACTCCATCAGGGAGGCTCAGTGCTACCGAGAGGATATACGGCGAAGTCTTTGTCAACGGCGCCAAGTCTCCCTTACCATACGGATCATATGTAAGCACCTTCTTCCTAATTTTGCATCTGAAATGGTACTAGTAGTACTTTCAAAAGCTTTCATCAGTGTCAGTGGGTACATCCACGGTTCCCACTACACTATTCACATCCAGGGAAAACGCAAGTTACAACTTTTCTCAACTTCCAACAACTAGTACAATGATTAGGCTTATATCAAGCAAAGCAAGCACATTTTGCATAGCTCAATCACAATGTTCTTTCATCCATACTAGTACCAGTCATTCTATAAGCTTGTATGCTTACATTTGTTGATGATACAGTAACGGGGGCATTTACCACTGTTCTTGGGGCACTTTCAGGGTTATGTTGACCGAGACGATGTGCTTGTTGAATCCCTCACAGTACGTGAGATGCTATACTTCTCGGCACTCCTGCAGCTTCCTGGTTTCTTATCTTCGAAAAAGTCAATCGTGGAGAATGCTATTGCAGCCATGTCATTAGGTGACCATGCTGACAAACTTATTGGCGGAAACTGTTTTATGAAAAGGCTGCCTACCGGAGAAAGAAGGCGGGTCAGCATCGCGAGAGAGCTTGTGATGAGACCACATGTTTTATTCATTGATGAACCACTCTATAATCTTGACAGGTATCTTTCATTTCCAGTCTGATGCATATTTGCCTTTTTTCTGTCTTGTATTTGAAAAGCAACATACAAATGATATCCCTATCCTATAGGATCCGGACACAAGTCCTGAACAGACACCACTAACACACGATACCCCCACATTTGATGTATCACAAACTCTTTGGCATGCTTACTTGGAAGAGCAGTATTATCTATGCCGTTTCTGTAGCTGCTACCTCTGTACATGGGGGTATGGCTGTACATTAAAGTGCAGATGTGTTTATGTAACTTCTTTTTATTTGTCTTGTTTCAGTGTTTCTGCACTGCTCTTAATGGTAACATTGAAGAAACTCGCAAGCACAGGATGCACCATCATATTCACAATGTATCAGAGCAGCACAGAGGTTTTTGGACTCTTTGATCGTATTTGCTTGCTTTCAAATGGGAACACGCTCTTTTTTGGAGAAACATTGGCTTGCCTACAGGTGAATGAGTTGTTTTTACATGGTGTCAATTCCTATCTCTGCCCACGTAATTTTAACTGATTATCAATTTACCTCTTGAATGCAATTATTGCGTCTTAGTGCGCCTAGAATTGCTGAGTTCTGTAGTGTCTAGGACTCTAATGTAGCCGAATCAGACAGCCATGCCAACATACAACCAACACTGCTTGAAACAAATAACCCTGTGTAAAGTAGCAGTTACAGAATAGCTTCCTTAAAAAGTGGCAAACCCATGAGATAGCAGTTTAGTAGTCCTATTGTTGCTCTTCTAGTTCATACTGTAGAGCACTCTGTTTCCAATCAGTACTTGTTCCTCTCATCTTTGCAAATCTTTTTAGTCTGGATTCTCCTTATTTTTCCTATCCTACTGTAGCATTTCTCAAATGCTGGGTTTCCATGTCCAATCATGCAAAGTCCATCGGACCACTTCTTGCGGGCAATCAATACTGACTTCGACAGAATTATAGCCATGTGCAAGAATTTGCAGGTATCTGTTAAAATTCATTTTGAATCCATCTTTTGTATCTTAATTAGTTTCAGTCAATTTGATGGAAGTCTGCCTTGCTCGTAAGAGATAAAAACCTTTTTAGTTATAAGCAGGATGATCAAGGGGATTTTTCGTCAGTGAGCATGGATACAGCAGTGGCAATTCGTACACTGGAAGCAACGTACAAACAATCAGCTGACTCTGTTGCAGTTGAATCAATGATTGCAAAGTTGACAGAGAAGGTAGCGTTCCACGTGTGTATATGATATATGGTTTATCGATTTCATGCATGCATGCACACTCGTAAAATATCTTACAGAGTCGGACTGTCGGAGTTAGAGTCACCCCATGTTGGAATGCTAAACTTTAGCAATGAGAATGCCTTTATCCTTACTCATCTGAAGTTCCTTCCTTTTGGGTAGTTTTTAATCAAGTGACTAGCATGACGATTCTTGAAATATATTTGTGTGTCCCTTTGGAATGATCTACACCATGGTAGGCTGTTCCAAGATATTGGTTCAAATCCAGATAGGGACAGTGACTGCGTCATTTGGTGTGGCCTAGTGTAATCCCAACCATGCATCTAATTATGCTCGATGCAGAATAATTGAATAAACAGCATTCGCTAATGCATTGACACATCTTGTTGTCTTCTCTACGTGATGTGATGCAGGAAGGCCCTTGCTTAAAAGGTAAGGGCAGGGCCAGTGATGCAGCAAGAATTGTGGTTCTGACCTGGAGATCATTGCTAATTATGTCAAGAGATTGGAAGTACTTCTGGATCAGACTTGCCTTGTATATGCTTATTGCTTTGTCAATCGGCACGATATTTACCGATATTGGTCATTCATTATCATCTGTAATGGTCAGTGTCATTACATTGTTATGTTTTGATTCATTGAATTGAATTTATCATTTTGCGATGTAGCTCATTTTGTTTTCACAGGTGAGGATTTCTGCGATATTTGCGTTTGTATCGTTTGTCATCCTTCTAAGTGCTTCTGGAGTACCTGCTCATATTGATGAGGTCAAGGTAAATACTCTACATTTAAGTGGTGCATGCAGTGTTAGGTATGGCGGCATTTTGCAATGCCCTGGTTGTTGCACAAACATAATTTGACTTTCTGGATTTCTTGCTGGAGGCTATCTTCTTATTAGTAGGTTCATGAAGTTAAGAGATCATCTGTCCTTAGCACCTCCAGTTAAATCCTAGTAGAATGGAAATATCCTGCAAGTAGCTAAAAGTCTCGTGAAATCAAAATTGCTGTCTTTACTAGGATTCTTATTTTTTTGTTTTCTCCTATGTAGATTTATTCCCACGAAGAAGCTAATCGGCATTCAGGGACAATGGTCTTCCTGTTAGGGAACTTCCTATCAAGCATTCCTTTCCTATTCCTGATCTCCATTTTGTCGTCTCTGGTTTTCTACTTCCTGATAGGGCTCAGGAATGAGTTCAGCTTCCTGATGTACTTTGTCATCACCATCTTTGTATGCCTGTTGGCAAATGAAGCGCTTATGATGATTATTGCATACATCTGGCTCGAAACGTACAAGTGCACCTTAACTCTCATTTTCTTATACGTAAGTTTTCTTTCCCTTTGTTTCTTCTGGCGTGCATAAATTGAGTCAGTTGACTTTGAATAATCATAGTTCTGCTACGATTTCAGGTTATCATGATGCTTGTGGCTGGGTATTTCCGAATACGAGAAAACTTGCCTTATCCTGTATGGACTTACCCGTTGTCCTTCATTTCGTTCCACACATATGCAGTCCAGGTAAGCTAAATTAGTACCATACTTATTACTAGGTATTATTATGTAAGTCGTGGTTATATTTTTCATGTGGAACAAAAGTAGTTACGTATGGCGTGGTTTATAACTTGCCAGGGCTTGGTCGAAAACGAGTATGTGGGCACATCCTTTGCTGTTGGACAGATAAGGACCATACCTGGTGTCCAAGCTGTTCGAGGCTCATATGACATTTCATCTTCCGGAAACGCAAAGTGGGTGAACCTCCTGGTTTTGCTACTGATGGCAATCGGATACCGGATTGTTCTCTACTTGTTGCTTCGACTAGATGTAAGGAAGCATGCGAGGATGCTTGGCAACTGGAGGTCATGGTGGCCAAGTGTCCATTCTGGTACTGGTGCTAAGTGATTGAGCTTTTTTTTATGGAGTGTCGTAGGTGTTTAGTGAGTTCTTCTGATTTGTATGTCTGTCTGTCCATAAGCATGTATACGCGTATTGGTTGGCCACAAACACAAAGGCGGGCATAGGTGCAGTAGCTAGTGTATGTAGGTATCATGAGGGGTGTGGTTTTCTACTCTTTCTTTTATGAACAAAACAATATCATTGTTTGACAGTGGATGGAATACATCTATCTTTAGGGGTGGTGGTGGGTCTTGATTCTGAATATGTTTTGCTGCATTTCTTTTGTGATAAAGTTCTGCTGCAGTATGTGCCAATGAACTGTGTAGATACCTGAACCTGAGCAACTCCACTTCTTGTCTCTACTTCACATGAGGGAGCATGCATTGGGGTTCTCATCGCTGAACGGCTGCGGCCCCTGCAGCAACTCGACGCGGTACGACGACCCTACTGATCCTCCTCTTCCGTACGACGCCGGGAATATCGTCATCGGGTACTGCTGCTCCTCCGACATCCAAGAAGCCATCTCGTCGTCGTGGTCATCGCCGGGTACAGCTGCGGCCTCTCCTCGCTGCTGTTTCTTCCAGTTCTGGTTCTTCTTCTTGGCGCCACCAGCAGTACTGCTGGCCTCACCCTGCTCCGTGTTGCCATCATGGTGATCGCCGCCACCATCACTAGCAGCGGCGGCCTTGACCTTCTTCTTGTTGGTCATGGGCGGGACCACCACGGTGGTGACCCGCCGCTTGAGCTTGGCGCTGAGGACGTCGGGGAGGGCCTTGGCGTCCATGGTGCCCTTCACGGTCACCTGCTCCCTGCCCGTGTCGACGGTCACCTGCTTCACCCCTTGGATCTTGTTGGCTTTGCGTTTGATCCGGTCAGTGCAGCCTTTGCAGTGAAGCTGGATGTTGAGCACCACCGTCGATTCCGGCGGCGGCATCCATCCGTCAGACGGTCAGAGTCAGAGTCGGTAAATTAGTTGCGTAAAGTAATCACATCCACATCGATCGCACGCAGTTTTCTTGGACGAAATTAATCGAAGACATGCCATGCACCAGTTTGTTACCGTCCTTGTCATGGCGGCCTTTGCCCTTGCTGTCCTTTGCGGCGGCGCCGTCGTCCTTGTTCTTGTTGATACTCCGCCGCCCCTGCTGCTTGGGCTTGGGCGGAGGTCGAGGGGGATTGGCCGGGGAGACGAAAGCGATATCGATGGCGGGCTTGTGCCGCGCCATCCTGGCCTGGATGCGGTCCCTAAGGTCCCAGGGGTCGGCCTTGCCGGCCACCGTCACTGTGCCCGCCGCCACGTCCGTCCTCACGCTCTCCGCGCCCTGCGCGCCCTTGATGGCTTTCCTCACCTTGAGCGCGCACCCGTCGCAGTGCAGCTCCATCCTCAGCACCACTGCCGCTGCTGCTTCATCACCGTCGCCCTTCTTCTTCGCCGTCTTGGTTGTCGCCTCTGTCCGCCGCTCGTCTTCTGCACCGCCGCCTTTCTTCGTCTTCATTCTCTTTCTTCCTAGCTAGCACTTTTCCGGCCAGAGCAACAAAAATAATTAATAAATTAGTTAACAGCAGGAACTAAACTAATTAATCGAATAGTATGTACGTACACAAGATGAGAACCAATATAATCAATGCAATAATCGATGTACGTGCGGTGTATATATAGGATTATTGATTGATGAGCGAGCGAATGCATGCATGCCATTGCCAGATCGGAGGATCGTATCGACGGACAGGTGGATCGATCGGGCAGACTAAACTACTCACACTAGCTGGTCATGTTTACGCGTCTGCTGGGACGTTTTCGGAGGCAGGCAGGAGGGAGGGAGAGGGGCTAGCCAGGGAGTGAGCGATCATCGAGGAGGAAGACGAGGAAGGAAGAAGCTATAGGGGCTGTTCAACTTGGACCAATTACTGCCTGCCTCTGCCTGGTTTTGAGGATGAACGAACGAGACTACGGGACGATCCTGCTTTCTCGGGGTGTTTGGTTTTACCTCGGGTAAGAGGACGGGTTGATACTGCAGATCTTCGGTGTGAGGTGGGTGACGCAGGGGACTAGGCCGGGGAGCCAACATCGACGAACTGGAGACTGGGGGAGCAGAGACGACGGAGGCAAACACTTTGGTGGCGAGCGGTGCGGGGCTGGCGTGGTGTCACTTTTCCTCTCTCCTCTCTTCTTCTCGCCATTGGGGCTGGAAAAAAAAACTGGCTTTACTTCTCTCACCGGCTCCGTGAGACAAGGAGAGAGGAAAAAGGATTCTGTGAACAGTGCTTTATAGTATTTGAACAGTATCTCTGTCAGATGAATTCAGAACCGGTGAATCTCGAGGGCCGAAATGAGGCTACCCGTTGGGAGCCACTTACAACACGTGAGGGCATGGGCCGACAACTTTAGATTACGGTGTTAATATCTTCATCCATCCTATTTAATTTATTCATCTCAACCAAAGAGAAAACAAGTATGATTGTATCATCTTGAACCAATCGTTAGCTTAGACGGCCCCATCTAAAAAAAATGCAACCATTTTATCCCATACTGTCTCAAAAAAAAAACATTCACTTATGCACAAACTCTAGGTTTGCCCCAGGATCTAACAATATATGACAACCATGTGTTCCCTCAAATAAGTTTGGGCTTTATCTCACCATTTTAGAGCCTAGAACCATACTCCCTCGGTCCCAAAATAGAAGACGTTCTTACTCCCAAAGTCAACTTTTTTTTAACTTTGACCAATTACATATAAAGGAATATTAATATTTAAATACATAATTAGTATCATTAGATTGATCATTGAATATACTTTCGTAATAAACTTATTTAGAGATATAAATGTTGCACGTATTTTCTACAAAATTAGTCAAAGTTGAGATAGTTTTTTTCTCGAACACGCATGAGAGCTACGTATCATTATATTAATAGAAGGATAAGAGTTGTACAGAGACCCAAAAACACACACACACATCTACATAAACTAACAGGACTCAATTACCAGAAAACAGAAAGGTGAGACATGACCTAGAAAAAGTTGAGACAGTTTGATCTACACTCATCCCATAACGTCTTCAGCATATATTTATTCAACTCACGTGTAAATCCTAACTTAATACCTTTCCTCGTATCCACACCCTTTTCATTCAATTGATCAAAACAACTTAGGGCACCCGCAATTCACTCTGGGCATAATTAACCGAAGACCGAAGACCGAACCGAAAAGACCGAGACCGAGACCGAAAAGACCGAGACCGAAAAGTTCGGTCATGAGTTCGGTCCTGGCTCCCAACTAACCGAAGTAACCGATAGAAGTTCGGTCATATGTGTCGGTTAACCGAAGTGACCGAACTGGTCGTAGTTCTTGTTCTGTACTTCTGTTATGTCATTATGTGTGATTGTGATTTGTGAGAACTGAGAAAGTTGTGTGCTAGAACTTGTCATAATAATGTGTGGTTTGTTTTATATATTGTGTTGTTATTTTTTTGCCTTCAAATAGCAAGCATGCTGTTGAAAATTGCTATAGATTCTGCTATTGTTTGTGGCTGCTACTCAGGTCCGGTTAGTTCGGTCGTGACCGAGACCGAACCGAACTAACCGAGACCGAACTTCCTCGGTCTTCGTTTTTTGCAAAGACCGATCGGTCCCAGGTTTCTGATGACCGAACTGACCGAATGACCGAGGAACCGAACCGATCGGTTCGGTCTGGCCGAATGCCCAGGGTGACCCGCAATTGGTGACTCATAGGCTGCTCTAAGTATTATTTTTCATATTTTAATAGAAGAGAGAGAAAAGCTAACTCTTATCAAGAGATTGGCTCATACACACATTTCAAGAACATGTGAGAGTGTCATTTGGACCTAATTATACTATGAGCCATTGTTAAAAGCTAACATTATTGGAGAGGTTGGCTTAGAGCTAGTAGCTAACTCCTACTGTTGCAGATGTCCTTATGCAATCACTGATGTACATGCTCCCTCGTCTCTTAAAACCATTCTATTTTCCTCCTTGCCCTGAGTGGTTTCATTGTCGGATTGATCCAACATAGGGACATGTAATCGGTCTTTACCCATACCATCCAGCCTCCTCTTTTTAGCCTTTTAAAGTATACTAGCAAATATGCCCGTGCGTTGCAACAGAATTCAATACGTAGTAAGTTGTAGCACGGGTCATAAGTTGAAGGGTCGAGATGGCGGACTAGAGGGGGGTGAATAGTCTTTTCTAAAATTAATCGCGTCGGCTAACCGATATAAATGCGGAATTAAAACAATCGGTCTAGCCAAGACTACACCCCTCTATATATGTTCACTAGCACCTTGCCAAGATACTAATTATGCAACTAAGGTGCCGGGCTAGCTAGAGCTCTCCTAAACAATTCTAGGAGCAAGGTCACACAAGCCTATGCCACTAGTACTTTAAGCAACAAGGGAGCTCCTACACATGCTAGTAAGCAAAAGCACAGAGCCAACTAAACTCACTAGCAAAGCTCAATAACAAGGCAACCAATGCCTAATTAGAGAGCGCAAATACTTAGCTACACAAACTAAGCAATGTGACTAACAAGGTTACTAAAACCAAATTAGCCACGCAAGGGAGCTACTTCTATGCTACTCAAGCAAGAAGGTAACTAGTAAGCTACACAAGCTAACTAATTACAAGAGCAACTACACAAGCTTAAGATATATAAAAGTAATTGCAAGCTTGTGTAATGGGGATGCAAACCAACGGGAAGAACAAGGTTGACACGATGATTTTTCTCCCGAGGTTCACGTGTTTGCCAACACGCTAGTCCCCGTTGTGTCGACCGCTCACTTGGTGGTTCGGCGGCTAATTAGCATCACCCGCTAAGCCCGCACGTCAGGCACCGCAAGAACCTACCCCTTGAGTGAGGGTAGCTCAATGACACGCTTTACTAAAGTTGCTCTTCGCGACTCCCGCGGGGCGAGCACAAGTACCCCTCACAAGCACTTCTCCGGAGCGCCGCACAAGCTTCTTGCGGGCTTCGACGGAGACCACCACCAAGACGTCTAGGAGGTGGCAACCTCCAAGAGTAACAAGCACCACTGGCTTGCAACACGATCACCTAGTGCCACTCGATGCAACCTCACGATGCAATCGCACTAGAATCGCTCACTCACACAATCGAATGATCACTATCAAGTATATGTGTGATGGAGGGCTCCTAAGCACTCACAAGCATGGACACTAAGTCCCTTGAGGTGCTCAGCACCAGCCATGGCCGAGGGCCACTTCTATTTATAGCCCCAAAGGCTAAACTAGCCGTTACCCCTTCACTGGGCAACGGTCGGGCCGACCGGACGCTCCGGTCGTGTTGACCGGACGCTGGACCACAGCGTCCGGTCGCCCGCAGACGGCCACGTGTCCCGGTTCCAACGGTCACTTGACCTGACCGGACGCAGCAGCTTCAACTGACCGGACGCTGAACCCCCAGCGTCCGGTCGTTTCCAGTAAGGTACCGACCTCGACCGGACGCGTCCGGTCACACTTGATCGGACGCAGCCAGCGTCCGGTCACACTCCAGCTTCTGCGTCATCGTACGTCAGCCTGACCGGACGCAGCCTGCCAGCGTCCGGTGCATTCAGATCCAGCGTCCGGTCAGTTGACCGACGCCAGCATCTTCGCGACTAACTCGTTTTCACTTCTAACTTCATCACCCTTGCTCCAATGTGCTAACCACAAGAACTTGCATCCGGCGCAATAGAAAATAGGCATTCTATTTTCCCGAAAGCGCCGAATCCCGCCGGCGGGAGGGAGAGAGGGACCCAAACCCATCTCACCCCTACAAACACCACCTCCTTTGTAAATGTGCCAACACCACCAAGTGTACACCACCATATGTATGTGTGTTAGCATTTTCACAATCATTTCCCAAAGGATGTTAGCCACTCAACTTGCCACGCCACTCGATCCTAGCGACAATGCAAAGTTTGATCACTCGAGTGGCACTAGATGACCGATATGCAAACAAGTTTGCCCCTCTTGATAGTACGGCCATCTATCCTAAACCCGGTCATAAACTTCTCTACACACCTATGACCGGTGAAATGAAATGCCCTAGGTTATACCTTTACCTTGCGTATTCCATTCCATCTCCTTCAATGTCAATACAACACATGCACCAACACGATCAACAATGATATGATCCACTTTTCCTCTCTCCTCTCTTCTTCTGGCCATTGGGGCTGGAAAAAAAAAACTGGCTTTACTTCTCTCACCGGCTCCGTGAGACAAGGAGAGAGGAAAAAGGATTCTGTGAACAGTGCTTTATAGTATTTGAACAGTATCTCTGTCAGATGAATTCAGAACCGGTGAATCTCGAGGGCCGAAATGAGGCTACCCGTTGGGAGCCACTTACAACACGTGAGGGCATGGGCCGACAACTTTAGATTACGGTGTTAATATCTTCATCCATCCTATTTAATTTATTCATCTCAACCAAAGAGAACAAGTATGATTGTATCATCTTGAACCAATCGTTAACTTAGACGGCCC